TTTTTTTTTTTTTGGATGTTAAAATATTAGTTCAACAAGCTTTCATTATAATTAAGGAAATGATCCAGTAAATCTAGCCTGGATTTCCAGCATGCCTATTGCAGTTCTAAACTCTGGAACTGTACTTGTTACCATAACTCATAGAAATTAAGATTATTGCCAATAATATCATTGCAATTTTCACTGAAACTGTATGACAGCAGTTCTTTTAGCATTATTAAAATTTCATTTTATAAAGGATGATTTTTATTGAATTGAAAATCTTTTTTGACGGCTGAAAGAAAGACAAAATGTTTTATCCTGCAATATGAAAGAAAGAGCATTTCTTATACAATTTTTTCTGGCACGTGGTGTCCAAAAAATAATCCTCYTTATCTAGTTGGTGTATGTATACATCAGAAAATATCTAGGCACAATCTTTATTTCCTTTTCTATTAAATAAATGCTTAATAAAATGTACATGGTAATGTAATTTACATGGATTTAATCTTTGTTTCTAGACTGTATCAATCTTGATTTGTCAAGTTATACAATTGTGTAAATTCTTTATTAAATTTATTTTTAATTTCTTTTAATTTCTAAGAATTAYTTTTAATTGGATGGGTACTAACAAGACCTACATGAATTTTCAAGTGTTCAGTAAGTTTCTCCAATCTATATTATTAACTTGTGTAACATATCTTGTCTTCAGCTGTTGCAGGGTAATTCATTTCCTAAATACGATAAATGGGACCTCAGGCAAACAGGCAGTGGTGGAAGTGTGGATGAACAAATCAGTGGAGACTGTGATGATGAAGATGGTTGTGAAGGATCAGGAAGTGGAGAAGTAAGAAGAGTCCAGAAAATTGCAGATTGTAAGTCCATTAATCTTTATTAATTATGTATTTTAAGATTGAATTGTCTTATTTTACATTAAGGAATAGCATTCAATTTTCTTGCAGAAGTTGTAGAARAGTTATCTGTGTAATATTTCCAAGATTTACAGGAATAGGATTTTAATAATAGGACTTCCATGAATATAGTATGATATTAACATTGCACATTTTAATACATATTTTGCATTTTGTAGACTGTTCTCACAAGTATTTTAATCAATTAAAAGATAACATAGGAACAATATGGTATTCCCTGGGTTACCAATTTAACACGAAAGGGAATGTTTGACAATTAAGCATACAAATTGTTTCCAATTTGTCATAGAACTATGAGACAAAAGAGGCAGTGTTATGTTGTCATAGCTGAATTTGGCAGAATGTTATTTCAACCAACATACTGTAGTCGACTAAGCATTAATGCAGTTATTCTATATTTCTTTTCGCTTTTCTTAGTGTTTCTTTTTCTATATTTTCCTGAAGTCACCACTGAACCATGTTTGCAGGAATTTTCTTCAAAAAGCTATTGATTATGCATTTCAGAGGCATGCAACAGTGAGTAAGAGCATTTGGCTTGAAGCACAAGTAATTTAGTTTCTTCTCCAAATCTGGACATCATTCTGCATCTCTTACTTGTCTTCATACTGTAGAATAACAGGCAGAGAGCATGGGGACASAGATACCTAATATTACCAAAATTACATATCTGAACGTTCAGTGCTGCTAGAAAAGATGTAACGGCTGATATTAATCCCTGAATTTACTTTTGTTTACTTCAGCCTGTACTACACGTTTCCAAGCATAGGTGAACGTCCCAAGTCCACCTTCACTAAATATTGAAGGGATGATAACCTGGAAATTTGCCCATACAGAATCTGTAGTGTGTGGCTACACAGTTCCTATTTAAGCTACTGGAGAATTAAGACTGTTAGCATGCTAAAGTGTGTCTTAGCTGGTAACTTTGGATACAGCCTGAGATGCTGTTGTGCTACTGCACAGACTATACATTTTCAAGTCTTATTCTATCTTACTTAAATGYTCTTATGACATTAAAAGATTGAGATCTACAAAGACATTTGGGCACTTATTTCCTGAAAGTACATTTGAACATTTAACCTTGAAGAAAGAAGCTGGAAATCAAATATTTAAAAAGATAAGTACTTTAGAATATTGGACATACTATATATATATGCCATAATGACACTTTGTGGTATGGACAGACTGTAAAATAGTCTTAGGAAATGACTAAAACTATTAAGCAAGTATTAAATGATAAAGAAATTACAAGAATAATACATTTTGCTTTATCCTCTTCCACTACATTAGACTTTTCTTCATGCCAATATATTTAGTGTAATCTTTCCAGAATGTCTGAAAGATAGCTAATTAGACTTCACATTCTCTTTATATTGCATCTATTATAAATCTCTAGGATTATGAGCAATATGTCAGGCATACTGAGGTTTCCAAGTAATGCTGTTTCATTCAGACCTTTTCCAAGATACCACTTAATACTGAATTCTCTGGAGTTCATTTATGTCTTGCATACGGATCTTAGTAGGATCCTGGGTGACCTGTAGAGATTTTATAGATTGATGCTGCCCTGCATTTAATATCTGGAACACATCCTAAAGTGCATCTTGATAATCAAAATTCCAAAAAAAGTCTTAAAATTAAGGTGTGGGAAACAGGATCTTGAGAAATTCTTTAGCAACAACAGTTGATATAGAAATAGAATCATAGAATCATAGAATGCTTAAGGTTGGAAGGGACCTCAGAGGTCATCGAGTCCAACCCCCCTGCTCACACAGGGTCACCTAGAGCACGTGGCATCCAAGCGGGTTTTAAAGATCTCCAAAGAAGGAGACTCCACAACCTCTCTGGGCAKCCTGTTCCAGTGCTTTGTCACCCGCACAGTGAAGAAATGCTTCCTTAAGTTCCTGTGGAAGAAATGCTTCCTTAAGTTCCTGTGGAAATAATTACACAAATTTTAGAATTAGAATTAAATATTAAAAAAATCAATATCATCACAATTCAAGCTGGTGAAATTTTAGCTGAAAGGTTACTGATACCAATGCAGGCCAATTTTTTAAATATTTCATACTTCTAGCCAGAAATGTTATCTGACCGCTCTTCAAACTATGATTAGACCTTCTTTGGGTTGTATCATATGTGTCATGAAAAGCCAAATCAAGATTGATTTTTTGATATAGCATTGTAAATCAATATTTCTAAACTAAAATCAATATTTCTAAACTATCTAATATGAAAAGAAGCAAATCAACCTTGCAGTGTAGACAAAACTGAAATTGAGACTTGTTCATATTCAACCCTTTATGAGCTTCAGATCTGCAAAGCACTGCAATCTCACTCTGAAGTCAAACTCAAGAATCACTGGAAAACTGTACAATATTACTTTGTTTCCTGCTCAGATTTTCATTTGTTCACTCATGTACTGCTTTTATGTATTATAAAACATCAACTTATCAATGTAACATGGTCGTATTTTAAAATAGACTTCAGCTGCAGTAGAATCAGGCAGGTAGCAAAAGACCTGATTGTGCTGGACATTGTCCACACAGTAATTTAGGAATCGCAGCTCACAGCAAAATTTAAGAAAAATTACATAGATTAAAAATATTGATGACCTACCTATTAGCTGTCTGATATTTCATTCCTGTTAAATTTTGATTTGTGAAAAACAGTAAGGAGCCACAAAAGAAGAACATGGATAAGACACAGGGCACAGAAAATGTAAATGTGAGTCAAATTCCTCCTTCTCTTCTCTTATTCCTATCCTTTTTCTCTTTTTATAATACAGAGATATAGTCTACTTCTATACTGATGAGTGAAAGTAACTAGATATTTAATAGATTTAAATGACACGGAGATTGAATTGAAGTACTAAATTGTTTGAATATTTGAATATGAAGTTAGGCTTTATTGATGAAGTTTTAAAAACCATTGTTACAGACTCTTTTGATTAAAAAATAACTTACTAAACTCCAGAAACCAGATACTTATTTTCTTGTTATATATAAACATTGTTATTTAAGATCTTTTATTGTATTTATTGTTTTTGAAGCTTGAAAAAAAACATGGCATAAACTGAAGAAGTTGTTTCATATCTATTTCCTTTAAATGTGTCATATTAAAATGAGTGGGAAAGATTACTTATGGGATTTAGTAATATACATGTTTTGACTGGATTAATTATGCACATGATCACATTACCTTATGCTTTTTTGCTATATGGAGGCATGCAGATAATGTTAATATTAATATTAATTTCTCCTCACAAAAGAAATTTTTTTTTCAGGGCAACTTTTTCTTCTCTCAAAACTAGCTGGGAAAGGAAGASGAATTGCTACATATTTTATATTGTAGTAGGGTGCTTTTTTTTTTTTTTTTAGCTATTCTGCATACATACTGATCCTGATTTCAGCAAGTTTTTAGTCTAAATTAACTGACAAAGAAGTGTCCTTTTGGAACAGACTGTTTTGTACAGAAATAAATTAAAAATAAAATAGATACAGCTATTTTATGAGTGCATGATTCTGAGTTATGGAAAGAATAGAGAGGAAGGAAGGAGATATGTTTTTGCCAAGACAAAACTCTAGCATTTTTCTATGAATGCCCAGCCTCAAAAGTTGGAGATTACTTATTTTTCTACTTTTTCTATTGTAGATCCAAGAAGTGTTTTCACTAACTGTTGGAGATAACAAATGTTTGGTAATAAGCTTTAGGGTTTGCAAAACCAGTGAAGAGACTGAGAGGAAGGAAAAGGGTATTTCTGTTTCAGAAAAGAGGACACTAACATTTCATTAGTGCTAAAAATATATATTTTTAATTGTTGTTAAGTTTTCAGATTAAATATCCAATCCTTAAATTATATGTAGTATTTCTAAATCCTATTATTTTTCTAACAGATTTGTTCTTCATAAGAATCTTTAAAATATAGCGATCAATGCAGTTCTTTCAAGAAATGATACTAGAAAAATAGTATATTTTAAATGCTTTAAATGTATAAAATAAACACTGGTATAAAGTCTTGACACTTCATTTGCTAGTTTTATTTTACATTAGACAAGACCGTTCCAATAGGATTATTTCATGTGTCATAATGAATTATCTCAAAAAAAAAAGGTTGTATTTTTAGGATGAATTAACATCAGTAGATGATTACTTTCCTGTTTGAACAGTGTGGGAGTAGGACAATAATTTGGAAAGGCTTCTTCTTGACACTTTCCTATAAAAAGAAGATACTATGATTCAGGTAAACTGTAGTCTCTGTTTCTTCATTTTATGCTGCCTTTATAAGTCCCAAACTCACTCCCTCCCTCCCTCCCTCCCTCCTTCTCTCTCTCTCTCTCTCTCTCTCTCTCTCTCTCTCTCTCCCCCACTTTTTTTATTTTATTTTTATTTTCTGTTCCTTCATCCCCTTTAGTAATATCATCTTTTTATAAATCTGGTTCTAATAGCATATTCTGTGACAAATATGATTCTTCCTCATCTTCAGAACTATTTAAAATATATGTGAAACTTCATTTACATTAATACATTTTTTTTATTTTATTTTGTGGATAACTCTTCTTTTTACCTTGAGGGGAAAAAAAAAAATACTTTCTGTGCAGTTTAAAGGGTCATCCCATTCGAGCACAAGCACAGACATATTTCCCTAAACTGTGCAAGTTAGCTACTTTAATGTCACTGTAAAAATATATTTTCACCTTCCAAAAAACCAACATTTTCACCTCCCAAAATCCAAACATAAATGTTGGAAAAGAGCTATAAATTACTCCTCATTTCTCATTTTTCTTTAGAGTATAATTAATAATTTTAATAACAGTAGGTGATAGTGACAGGATTTTTCTGTGTGAGGTGTTTAAAATGTAAACATTC